CTCAGATAGGGTAAGACCCCTTGGGGCCAGCCTACCAGAGCTTAGCCTATATTACTCTATGTGCTCTAGGCAGGCCCTAAGAGATCTTAGCCTACATGACGGTATGTGTCTGTGTGAATATACACAGACACACAGGAATAGGCACATACCCTAATATATGATAATATGTTACCAGCTCTGGGCTGCAAAAAACCAGAGAGTGAACCACTAGAGGGCAGCAAAGCTTTATGTGTGGCGCCCCCTAGTGGCCTGCCGTGTTTTTGCAGCCCAGACCTGGTAACCCTAGAGCAGTGTTTTTCAAACTCGGCAACCTGAACATGTGGGTTCCCAGAATTCCCTGGGAATTGAAGTCCCCACATCTTACAAGGCAAAACACTGCCCTAGATGTATACACAGTAACATACCTACAGCCACATGTGTGCATATCTCTTTTGCAGCGATACCGATATATATGGGCAATCCAGGGAACCCCGGCGTGTCCCATTTTTCCTCTACAGCAGCAGTTTTCGAGAAGGAAGTTTCCAGCACAGCCTGGTGATAGCCTGGCCCTGTGTCTGACACTGGGGAGTCAGGTTACCTCCAGAATACCGAAAACCCCTTCCTGTTCTGGAAATATTCCTTCTGGGAAACTGCTGGACTAGCCCAACTGGCATGGGGCAGAGGGAAAAAAGGAACATTCTAAAGTTGCCCAGAAAATAACCTTTTGCCCATGTATACCAGTCGCTCTTCTCCCCTCCTGATGGCACAAGGGCTGCAAACTCTCGGGTGCCCAGGTCCTGCACATACCTCGTCCACCTCTCTCGGGCCACCGAGTCCCAATTGTCTTCAGCCCTCACTTCTTGCGGAAAAGGAGGGGGTAGAGGCCCTCCTCTCCTGCAAGCAAGTCAGCAGCTGAAGAGGGAGGCACCTGTCATGTCCCCCTGCTAGTTTGGCAGCTGCCTCAGCCCACCCAGCAGGGGGGCCTTAACAGACGGCTCGTGCTCTGGTTTTTGACCGAGCCAGCAAGGTCTGGCATGGAGAGACTGGCGCAGGCAAAGGAGGACCTTGTGCTCTGTTGTGGTTGCGCTGAGCCTGGGTGCTGCTTCGGCAGTCCTGCTGCAATCAGCCAAAGTGCAAGTGGAGATGGAGAAGACTGGAGATTTACACAAATGTGCCCTTTTGGCTCGACTTACCTGTGGTTGAAGGGGAGCGGCCGTTGAAGGTGGGACAGGATTTTCTCCCTTACCAGGGGGGCCTCTGGATCTTCTCCTCCTCCTAATTTGGGGTTTCAAGAACAAGTAGCATTGACAATAAAACAGCCATTTTCGAGCACACCAACCCCCTTGTGCTGAGACCACCACTTAATAAAGAGATTTTATTTACAAGAAAACGCTCCCAAAGTCCCTTCTTCTAAAGATGTCCAGAAGGAAAGTTGTTTTGGGTGGTGTTGGCACCTGCTCCAGAACAGCAGCGCTGCACAATTTCAGTGAAGTGCAAGGAACGGACTCCTTGTTCTCCATTCCACCAAATCGGTCTTGGCACCCTTGGGCTGCAGCCTTTATTACTACTTCCTGATCTTTGCCTACATATCATGGTTCCCGTGGGCCAGCATCTCTTCTCCATTCCCACAGCGCCGTTATTAGAGCTTTGGGGGCCCCGTGCCCCTCTGCTTCTGCTGCTTGCTTGGCCAGCCTGCTGCTTCCAAGTTCTCCAAGGGAACTGCTGGGAGTCCATCCTTCGGGGTCTTCTCCTCCAGGGCCCAGCTCAGTTGGCCCTGAATGTCCCCTCTTCCCACGCTACCTAGATGTTGTCATAGGGGACCGCAAGGCCAATATTGTAGTTGTAGCCAGTCACTTCGTTGTAAGAGGAGCGGCAGATAGGAAGGATGCTTTCAGCCACCAACTGGTCCATGGAGAACTCGTAGGCGTAGATGATGCCTCGATGCCTACTCAGAGAAGCAATTGGAGAATGGGTCAAAAAAGTAAGCAGGGTGCTTTTGAACCAGCCTAGTTCCCAGCAGTTCAAAACACTCGAGCAATTTTTCAACCATGGCAACTTTAAAATGTGTGTGCTTCAACTTTTTGTGAGCTGGGGAATTCTGGAAGTTGAAGTCCACATAACTTCAAGTTGCCAAGGTTGAAAAACTCTGTTCTAGACCCGGCTAACTCCCTGGGGGCAAGGAGAAATTTAAAAAGCAAACAAACCAATTCAGATTAGGCCCGTGCCTCTAGAAAGAGCACTCCTAATGGTTCTTGATCATTCTGCCTCGAGATCAATGTTTCTCAACCATGGCAACTTTTAAGATGTTAGGACTTCAGCTTTCAGAATTCCCCAGCCAACCATGCTGGCTGGGGAATTCTGGGAGTGGAAGTCCACACATCTTAAAGTTGTCAAGGTTGAAAAACCCTGAACTAGATACTGTATATTGACTCTCTTGTATTCACCTTCTCAGCTCACAACATGAGAAAGCAGGTCCGAAGAGAAGAGAAGTGATGTTTTCCTAAAGATGTCACTTCTGTCCCAATGAGAAAGGATTTGGGTGGCCAAGCTGTTCTGTGTCACAAGAGGAGGGGAGGCCTGTAGCCATCCAGAAGCAGCTAAACTACAATTTCCCTCCACCTTAGACACCCCGACCAATAATAATGGGTGCTTGAACATCTTACCACCCCTTCTCCCATCGCGCTGGGTTTGTTTTTCCAAGCATCAGCCAAACTCCCGCTGCTCACTGCAGAACTCGCTTGGCATTTACAGCTGAATGCGTTCCTACCCTGAAGCCCTGCTGGTGTGGCCACTAACGTTCCTGGCTCTCTAGCACCATAGGTTGATCTCTCAGACAGCACAGTCTCGCTCCCCCACTCTAGCTTCTCCTCTTTTCGTTTGCTTTGCTTTTTGTTTAAGACGAGGAAAGCCAACGTGGGGATGACCCCCAGAGTCCCCCATTACTGTCTAGCTAAGACTGCTGGGAGCTGTAGTTCAGCAACCCTGGGAGTGTCACATGCGCCTCCTCCTGGTTTAGCAAGAGCACTGCCGCAAGTCGGCTCTCACCTTCGGTGGGCGGTCAAGTCATCGTCTGTGATGCTGGCGCCTCGGGGAGTTTTCTCATTGGGGATGTTGGCCGTGATGAGGCTGTGGGAGTTGAACTGGAGGTGGCGGACCGGGTGCCTAGAAGAAGGACGTGCATAGTCTTTCAGTGGCTTTTTAAGGTCTCCGTATCTAAATGCGGTTGACAAGCAACTTACTGTTTATTTAAAAGTAGGATAACAATGGTTGACCAGTTATTCAAATGCATGGTAAATTGAAGAAAACCCACAAAGAAAACCCTAGGAATTTTTTTTTTAAAAAACCCTTCCACTCAACCTTTCTGAAATGAAAGGGATGCACTGCGAGTTTTGATCAAAACCGCTATATGCTTAGAGCGAAATTAACTGGCGCTTTCGGCCTCCTTTCTAGTTTGCAACTGCTGTAGTTGTAGCTGTGGATACGAACCCATCACCTGACTCTACTTTTAAACACACATCTTGTGAGCGATATGCTTCGTAACTGGCTTTCAACAGACCACCCACTCCGTTATTTAGCCACAGGGAATTCAAAGTACTTCCCACACAATGCCCTTATTAAAAAAACCGAAAGGCTCTCTAAAACACAGGCCAGTTTTATTAGCCCCATGTTGCAGATGGAAAGTTGAGGCCAAGAGAAAGCGATGCCCTTTCTATCAGGAGCTACATATCCTCAAGACTCATTTCTTGAGAGGCCAAAGGAAGCAGAGGAAGGGGCCAGACCCTACAGTGAAATTTATTTTATCTATTTTTAACAAAATTTACTTTTTTCTCCTACAGGCCTTTTTTCTCCTTTTCTTTCCGAAGCAGCAAATTGCAGGAAATGAGCAGACAGCTCTTACCAGAGGCCTGAACGGATCTCTTGCAGAAGGCTTTGGAAATCAAATTAACAATGGCATGTAATTAGCTGACCATCACAGCGATGCGCACCGTGGCCTTAAGCCAGCGAGTCCGAGGCCGTGGGTTTGAACCAGCGACTTCCACGCTGCAGCTCAGTTTCTTGAGTGCTACAAGAAGGCACAGCTCAGGAGTCCAGACCCTGGCAGAGCTCACCTATTCAACTAGGCACAATGCAGTTTGCTTGGTTTGGCTGAGCGTACAGCATGAATCCAGCCAATTGTGCTTAAGCAAACCCTGAGTCTGGATGATCTACTAAGCATGTCGTTCTATTAGTCCTTATCCACATTTATTTCCTTTCTCCTCCAACATTCTTCCTCTTGCACTGGGCTGTCTGAGCAGGCATTCTTCCATCCCATACATTAAATTTTCTAAAGGTATTTGTCCTTCTGAAAACCTCAAGGCCCCTCTGACTTTTTTAACAACTTCTCTTCCAGGGCATGGATTGGTGTCCCATTTTGCCTATGGAAGGCTGACTTTGCTGATCATGCCTCTCGATGTAAGCGTCTTACTGACTGTCTTGCCATTCCAGTTACATGGAAAGTATTTTTTGTTTCTTGAACCGGATTAAGGAAAAAAAAAATGGAGAAGATGGAACTTAAAGGAAGAAAGATGGCTTTGAGCACCATCAAGTGGAGTGTTTCTGAAATGCAGCTGGAACAGCAGGAAATGGAATAAAAGGGGCAAATGAGCGTGACACAAGCGTCTTACAAATGTATAGCAAACAGGGGAACTGGGATTCTAGATTAAAGTCTGGGCAACAGGTGAATCCTGAGATCAACTGAAGCTGTTTGATTTTCACTCCCTCTCTAGAGCAGTGTTTCTCAACCTTGGCAACTTTAAGATGGGTGGACTTCAACTCCCAGA